GAGAGAGAGAGAGAGAGAGAGGGAGAGAAAACACATCGACGGCAAGCCACTCCCACCAGGTCACATGGCTGGCAAGCCACTCCCACAAAGGAGGCCACACCCACAGAGTAGGTTCGAAATTTTTTTGAAACCCACCACTGCATGCTGGCCACATGACCACAGAGACGTCTTTGGACAACACTGGCTCTTTGGCTTTGAAACAGAGATGAGCACCTTCCCCTAGTGTCAGGAATGACCAGCACATATGTGCAAGGGGAACTTTTACCTTTACCTTACTATCAAAATAAATGTTTGGCTTGGCTTTACAGGTTGCTTGTAGTTGTTTGAAAGTCGAGTCATGTCAGCTGGACTTCTTTTTTGGTTTAAAACATTTTGCTGCTTATCCAAGTAGCTTCTTTAGTTTGAGCAAGTTGGTTAGAGGGATTTAGGAGGCACAATCCTTAACAACTCTCTGCCTACTCACCTAATGAGCCTATTCAGACTAGGTAAGAATTGAAACTACCCTGGGGGATATATGTGGTGTCCCCCTAACTGATGTACTTAGATTGAAGAAGTTACTTGGATAAGCAGTAAAACATTTCAAACCATAAAAGAAAGGAAGTCCAGACAATTGTCTGCTGCAATGTCCTACCTGTCAATGACTTCTTCAACTTCAACCTCAATAATACACAGGTAAACAACACCCCTTCCCCCCGAGTGAGAGTGCATGCTCAGCATTGAAGCATGCGTAGTCAGCGAGATAGGCGGGGTGATGCCTGACCAGCCCCGAACGCCTAAGTTCTACAGGAGTCGTCAGAGGGGTGAGTCCTGCTCGTTGTAGCTCCTCCCTAAAGGGAGTGGAGCTCCGAGCGGTGCCATCTTGGGACGGCCCAGAAGGCGGGCTCAACTCAACAGGTAGGCTGGGCCATGGGGTTGTGGCTACTTGGGTGGCGTCACCATGCCGGGAGGCGGCAACTGGTGATGTACCGTTGTGGTAACTGGGAAATGGGGCCTGATCGGTTTGAAGTTGAGATGGGGACGTCGGCCAGCAGGAGGCGTGCGGATAGGTGGGGCCTGGCTTGCCTGGGAAAAGGCCCATGTGTGGGAATCTGGGCAGAAAAACTCGGATTGAGGCATGGAACTGGCAGGTGGAAACCCTGCAACATTGGAGTAGGAGAGGCCTGCCTGGGGAAAGGCCTCAAACTGGAATCTTTGGACCGGCTGGCAGGCAGCTGTGTCATGGGCCCATGGATCAGATTGGACGCCGGTCTCAGTGGGGAGACGCTTCCTTAACTGATCCATGTGGTGCCTCCACTCGGATCCATCGGCCAGTCCAACCTGTAAGAACAGGGGCCGGTTATGGACAGAATAGAGGCAGCCACCCATTTAGCGTCCCCTGAGAAAGAACGGGCCCAGACCAAATCCCCCACTAGGAAGGAGCAGGAAGGGGAAACCCTCAGGTTGCATGGCTGCTCCCCTGAATAGAGCGGATGAAGCCTATCCAGGGGGGTCCGCAGGCGCCGACCCATCAACAGCTCCGTGGGGGCTTTTGTTGGTCATTGGGCAGGGGGTGGAGTGTTGGCTTTACAGGTAAGCTGCCACCCTTGCCGGCCAATCGCCCCGTTCCATCCGGCCAAGTGCCTCCTTGGCCGAGTGGACCGCACACTCCGCCCGGCCGTTGCAGGCCGGATGGTACGGGGCGGTGGGCCCGTGCCAGATATCCTGCAAGGCCAAGAATTCCTGAAACGTGGTGGAAGCGAATTGGGGCCCGTTGTCTGAGACTACCACGTCCGGCAACCCGTGGGTTGCGAACAACCGGTGCAGGGCCCTCTCAGTACTCTCAGCCGAGGTGGAGGTCATGAGGACCAGCTCCACCCAGCGAGAGTAGGCATCCACCACAATCAGGAATGTCTGGCCATGGAAGGGGCCGGCAAAATCGATGTGGAGGCGCGACCATGGGCCTCTTGGAGCCTCCCACTCACAAGTAGGTGCCGCTGGGGGGGGATGGGAGAGCTGACACATAGAGCAGCGGCCGACCCAGGCTGCTATCTCAGCATCCAGCAAGGGCCACCAGACATATCTGCACGCCAACGCCTTCATGCGCACTATGCCTGGGTGGTTCTTGTGGAGCAGAGACAGAACCTGGGAGCGCAGAATGGAAGGGTTCACCACCCGGTCTCCCCAAATCAGGCATCCGCTATGGAGGGACAGCTTGGCCTCACGGGCCTTAAAAGGCCGGAAAATGTCAGCCAGCTTCCCCAGAGGCCACCCGCGGAGGACCCAGGAGCAGACCTGAGCCAAAACTGGGTCAGCTTTAGTGTGGGCGGCCACGTCAGCGGCAGTGAGGGAAAGGCCCAAGGAGGCGATCGAGAGAACGGACAAGGACGGCACCGGGGCCGGGTCGGAGATAGGCAGGGGGCAACGGCTAAGGGCATCAGTGTGCCCTAGCTACTTGCCAGGACGATAAAGCAGCGTATAGGAATACGCCGCCAAGAACTCCGTCCAGCGGGTCATCCTGGGTGAGAGGATGGGAGGGGTCGGCTTGCCCCCAGCCAGAAGCCCAAGGAGAGGCTTGTGGTCCATGACAAGTGTAAAGTGCCGACCATACAGATAGTCATGGAATTTCTTAATCCCGGACACTGCGGCCAGAGCCTCCTTGTCAATCTGGCTGTAATTGCGCTCCGCAGAGGAGAGTGTCCGGGAGTAGAAAGCCACGGGGGCCTCTGAGCAATTGACCAATTGGGAGGACATGGCTCAGGACCACCCCCAGACCATAGGGGGAGGCATCACAGGCTAACGTCAGCAGCAGCTTGTCATTGTACTGCACTAAGACAGCTGCTGACATAAGCATGTCTTTGACAGCTGCGAACGCATGCGCTTCACGGCTGCCCCAGTGCCAGGCTGCAGATTGGTCGAGCAACCGATGCAGTGGCTTGACAAGTGACGCCTTATGCGGCACGAACGGCGCATAAAAGTTGAGAAGCCCCTGCAGCTCCGCCTTGGAGGAGGGAGTGGGGGCATTCCTGATGGCGGCAACCTTAGAAGGTGTAGGGTGGATCCCTTGGGCGTCGATCAAGAAGCCCAAGAACTCCACCCTGGGCACAGCAAACGAACATTTGCTGTGCTTCAATTTCAAACCTGCGCCCCTAAAATGGAGGAGGACCTTCCTGAGCATTTCGATGAGTTCTGAGCGGCTGGAAGCAGCGATCAGAACATCATTGAAATATGGAACCATACCAGGGAGCCCATGGAGCAAGCGCTCCATGAGGCTCTGGAAGATCTGGAAGATCCTCGGGGCCACGGAAACACCAAATTGGAGGCGGTGACAACAAAAAGCCCCGCAATGGGTGACGATGGTTTGGGCTGCCGCCGCATCATCATCCACTGGGAACTGCTGGTAGGCCTGCGCCATATCCAGTTTCGCAAAGGTGCAGCCTCGCCCCAAAGAATAGAGCAGGTGCTGCACAATAGGCACTGGATAGGGGTTTGCCTGGAGGCCAAGATTGATTGTCGACTTGTAGTCGGCGCAGATCCTGACCAACCCATTGGGCTTGACTGGGACCACAATTGGGGTCTCCCAGTGCGAATGGTCGACAGGCTCCAGGATACCCTGCGCCAGCAGCTTATCAAGTTCAGCATCAACCTTGGCCCGCAAGGCAAAAGGCACCCTGCGAGCCTTCAGCCTAATAGGTGCAACCTGGGGATCTAGGTTTAGGGAGATGGGGGTGCTCTTGTAAGAGTCCAGCTGGCCATCAAAAACGTCTGCGAATTCCTCAAGGTCAACGTCATCTAAAGAGGGGGAAGAGGCACCTACCCGATGGATTCCCCCAATTGACAACCCCAGGGGAGGAAACCAATCTAACCCCAACAGGGCTGGCAGGGGCTTTTGTACTATCAGGACAGGCAGGCGGCCGTGGAAGTCCCCATAGTCTACCCAGATGGGGAAGGAATCCAGGGTGGGAATAAGAGTCCCCTGGTAGTCTCTGAGGGACGTGTCCACCGGCTGCAGCTGGTCATGGCTGACACGGGGACACAGGCGGGGGAAAGTGGACCAGGACAGCAGGGAATGGGAGGAGCCGTAGTCCACCTCCATGCGGCAGGGCTGATCTTCCAGGTGAAGGGCAGCAGAGACTTTCTTTGCCCCCGCGGATGTCTGGCTGACGGTCTCCCTAGCGAACTCCGGCTGGGTCACGGTGTAGCAATCTTCAGGTCCCTGATGCCTCCGGAGGGCCTCCGGGGGGATGTGGAAGGCTGTTTTCGCCCTCCCCAGGCTCCTATAAAGCCTCTGGAGCCTGGGGAGGGTGAAAAAAGCATGCAAAAAATGGGAGGCGAGCACCTCTCATTCACGCAAGCGCACTGGGAGGTCGCACGTTGTATCGTGGGTGTGGCACGCCCATGCATGACCTCCCTGAGCTCTCCCCTTATGGCACGCGAGCCAAAAAAGGTTCCCCATCGCTGTCCTAGATCTTTTCTCCCAACTCAATTTTGCTGAAACAAAATCATTCTCAAACATTTGGGTTTTGCTATTGCAGTATAATTTTTATGAGAATATGTTACAATAAATTAGGCTTTCAGTAGTTTTATTAAGGTAAGACAGACAGATATAAAGCTGGGCGAAACTTTACTGCCTCATTATCATTAGAAAACATAAACACTGATTTATAAGTGGTGTAAAATTAAATTACAGAGAATTTTCAAAGGAAAACTAAATTAATATCATAAGGTGATCTTAACTGCTATGGGAATCAATTCTGTGAATATTTATCATTGCAAAAGTAGCTAGTGTGAGATTTGCACTGAAGTTTTAGTGGACCAGAGGTGTTAGCAGAGACAGAGTGAAAATGTCTAGTTAGTCATTTTGATTCACTTCTAGTTGTGAAATGAAGCATTTTGGTACTTGCTTTACAGTGTTCTGAAGTGAGATACCTCCACACAAACTACTGCTTAATACTGAAGCACAAACTGAAATGATTCAAAGTTAACAAAGATTTTGCAGTCTTTTAAACACTTTAAACAGCCCTAAGTCATACATTGTTAAAACTGATAGCCAAATTAGAAGTGATAAAAACTTGTGTCAACAAAGGCATCAGCTGAGACCCACTTATCTAAGGGTCAGACCTAACAAACACAGTCTTAAAAGTTACAAATTTAAAAGTCAAGTGCATTGAACATGTTTTTTTTAAGTTTGCATAGAATTAACTATTTACTTATCAACTATTTTTTTCTTTATCACAAACTGACAATTTTAACTGTGGAGGTTCCAGCATGAATATAATATTAACACTCTACCGATATTCTATAATAAATAAATTGACATAATATTAATATAAAACTTTTTATTCTATATTAAGGCAGCAAAGCTAGGCCATGCAAAAGGCTTAAAACATCAACACAGCTGTTCACATCATCTCCTTAATACTTAGAAAGTCAAGACTCGAACTTGAAGTTTGCATAGAATTAACTATTTATTTATTAACTTTTTTTTCTTTATCACAAAGTGATAATTTTAACTGTGATGCTTCCAACATGAATAATGTTTACTATATTAAAAGTAAAGTAAATATTCTTTATTCATGTTAGAAGCATCACAATTAAAATAAGGCATCCTATACAGCCTAACATTTAAAATATAAAATACAAGATTAAAATATGGACAAGTTCAACAGAACTTACCCTAGAAGTAGCAACATTAATGATGCTGCTATGAGGTCCTGAAGTGCACACTGATCAGAACACAAAGGACAGGTATACAGGTGTTGTTATCTGCATGTCATCACAAATGCAAAGGGCAGAAGCCACCTGATTTGTTCAGAGTAACTCTGGATCTTATTGTATCTGTGTGGAGTCTATTCAATGATAAACTTGAATAAAGTACTGTAATGGAGCTGTTGTGGCCCAGCAGGGGTCAGTGGAGCTGGCAGCAGAGGTAGACAGTGAGGAGGTTGAGGAGGAACATGAGCGAGTCCTAGAGGCTGAGTAAGGCTCGGACGAAGGCTCTGCATCGGAGGCAGAGAGGAAGCTAGACAGCAGTGAGGCAGAGGAACAACTGGAGACTGTTCCCAGTGTGTGCATGCGCAGAGCTGCCAGAAGACAAGAACAACTAAGAAAGCAGGGTCAACTTAGGAGTAGAACCACATGTTGGAGGTGATTGGCCCCTCCCATAGCAAACAAAAGAGGAACAAACAGGGAGTGGGCTTTTGCAGGAAAACATTTGTTCATTTGGTCGGTTCAAGAGTGGAAAGTTCTGTGTGTGACTTTAAGAGACTCTGTGCCAAGTTTGTCTTGCCCTGCATTTGGAAATTATCTGGCAGTGCTCCAAATGAGATAAGGTGCACGTGGATAAACATTCCTCTGAAAGACTGTTTGCTAAGCCTTGCTGACTGTGTATGAAAGGAATTCACAGTCATGTAAATAAAAGAGGTTTTGCTTCTTGCTTTTTAAGGAAGTCTGGGTCAGAAGAGGTTTAGTATGTGTGTGTATACATACATACATACATACATACATACATACATACATACATACATACATACATACATACAGTTTTTATTAAACATTTTTACTTTTAAAAACAAAAAAAAGACAAAAGAAGACAAACATAACAATATAAATAGTTATACAGCCTTCAGTTTCAGCATTCATGTTTAGCCTTTGTAGTTCTCCATTCTCTATTGCCTTCCCATCGATTTTAACTTCTGTAATAACAGTTGCTCTAACACTTGTAATAATATTAATGGTGTAGTCTAATGCTTGCTTAGAGTCAACTGTTTGACATGTTTACCAAGCATGGAAGACAATTGACAAGGAATCCTAATCACCATTCAATGTACCAGTTTGGTCTCTAGGTGGATTGGCAAGTATAAACTAGATGTTTGTAGCAGTTGAAGCAACATTGGAATGAATCGGGCATTCTTGAGTTAATGAAAACCCAAAGTTTTCTCAACTGACAAATCGGGCTCTGGTTAT